ACTGTTGGGATTGGGATTTATAAACCCAGATCATATCTCTGATATTTAAGCTCACACCTTTCTTCTTGCCCCAGACCAAAGCCCCATTTCAGTATTCAGGAGGCAGCATGTAGGATTATCCATTCACCTCGGCTCAATAACATGTAGCCAGAGGGTTAAGTCTAGATAGAGCAAACATGGCTACCCAGAGGCATCCTCTATGATAGGTGTAATTCTTAGAGAAAAAGATGAAGTGCTGAAAACCACCTAGGGAGCAAACATTTGTCCAGAACAAAAATATTAGTAGACACAACTCCATGTCTAAAATGTGATGAACTAGATTCACCCAAGGTTAAAGAATGGCGAAAGTTAAAGAATCGAACACAAAGAGCCTGGAGAGATGTTTCAGTGATTAAGAGCACAAGCTGCTCTTCTAGAAGACTAGGAATTGATTCCCAGAACCCACACAGCAGGTCGAAATCACCTGTAACTCCAGTTCAGAGGATCTGTTGTCCTATGCAGGCAAAAAAACCCACTTATACACATTAAATAAATTTTAAAAAATTAATAGAACATGGTCATGCTTACCTGTAATCCCTACATGATTATGAGTTCGGGGCCAGCCTGGGTTATAGCATCACACACACACACACACACACAGAGTGAGTGTGAGAGAGAGAGAGAATTTGAGGAGTTAGTTCATTAGCTTCTCAGTCAGTCTAAGGATTAAATCCTATTTTGACACAAATTAGGTATTTTAATCATCAAAAAAGCTAAAGTTTTCATACTTCAGTTTCTTAGGAATAACATGGTAAAATAATAAATAGCTAGAGCCATTGATTAGTTATAGATACTCAATAATATCATATAGCTAGCTCCCTGGCTTATAACTAATATTTAATAGGGCAGCTATCACTGTTAATATCATTACACTTCATCAGTCTTATGATATGATATGAAACTGTGCAGCATAGTAGAAAGTAGTGGGATTGGGTAAAATGTATATGCTTATATATATTTATGAAATGTATAGCAACCATGACATTTATTCGTGTATATATTGGGAAAGATTATATGAGAAAAATAGCATACCCGTAGACTATATAACATAAAAAGAAAAGGCAATAAATACATTCCAATATAGAAGATAATAAAAATATAACTATCCTATAAATGGGTCCTTTTGTGTGTGCGCTGCCTGTTGCATGACTGTGCACACCTGTAGGGTTGTACAAAGAAACACTAAACGCTCACCTCCTGAAATGTAAGCCTTGTTGTCAAAGTGGATTGAGAAAAATATGTGGTTGAAACACAGTCCTTTTATTTAAAATAGAAACTTTGAAGGGAACGGAGTTAACATATGACAAATGAAGATCCAGTTCCCCTGGAGGGGGGAAAAAGCCCTTCCTTTCTGGAATGAGACCCGGGCACACTGATAGCAAAACTGACGTTTTTCTCTTTCCCTCTTCTGTGAAATCCTCCAGCCAAGCTGTGCGCTAACCGAGTAGGCGAATCCACTTCGTCACTTCACAAAAGACTTCCAAATTCACTGCGGCAGACACTGGAAAATAAAAATGTTAAGTACATCCTAGCTGAGGGGGAGAGACGGAAGGCTCCCTGTTCAATCAAAGGTTTGCAATAATAGGATTCATTAAAAAAAAAAAAAAAAAAAGACAGATGGGCTTAGGAAATGTTGCTGCGGTGAGCCTGTCATGAGAGGCACAGGCAGCCTGCCTTCTGTGGACCTGCACAATGATCCCAGAGCCAGCCTGGCTTAGGAGACCCTGGGACTAGGGCTCCAGAGAGAGGCCACCAGCTCCCGGACACCCAGCAGGGCAGGAGGCTGAGACCATGCATCAGATCTACAGCTGCAGCGATGAAAATATTGAGGTTTTCACCACCGTGATTCCTTCCAAGGGTGAGTAACAACCGTAACAATCCTTGGCGTCCCCTACTGTGGCGTCTTAGGCGGGAGGTGACCCGGTGCTGTCTGACTAAGGAACACTAGAACGTGGTACTCTCGGGTCCCGAGGTTGGCTGGCTTCTCCGTTTCGATGGCATTTGATTTCCCCCCTTTCTGATGAGGAGCACAAGGATAAACATCAATCATAGGGAAACAATCTATTAAGGCGGGGATGAGGACAGCATAGTCTTCCTGCTTCACTTAATTCGAAACGGGCAACCCAGCAGGTTCAATGACAGGGACAATAAGTGATTGTTAAAGAGACAGAGATGGAAACAAAATTTCTAGGGCAGCCTGATAAGCTTTTTCATTGTCTCCAGTAAAAAAGCAGGTTCTGAAGGGAGAGTCAGCTGTTCCAAAGCCAACTCCATCTAACTTAGGAGGAGAAAGGCTCCTGGCTGGCCAAACACCCAGAAAGGCAATGAAACTGATCCCAGGCTGACTTATCCACGTGACCCCCAGAGTCATCTCACCTGGTACCACCAAAAGGAACTACCAAAAGGGAACCTTGACTTTATAACCTCTGGTTCCTAGCAGTTGGTGCAGAGCTCTGGGAAGGACGTTGTGAGATCACATGAAGGGGAGTGCTGGTGACCCAGCACAGAGCACTTTACCCTGCCATTGGTCGGGCATTGGTCTTGCTGTGGCGCAGCTTACTTGACTGTGATATTTGGCTAAAATGGTTTGAATGCTTGCTCGTGCTGGGAGCCCACATTCAAACAGATCTTTTCTTCCTTCCTCTAATGTCCGCCACCGACAGGTGCCTTGCTGAGGGGGTAGTCAGGGAGTCGAGACTCAGCCTGGACACAGGCAGACAGCTAAACATAAATTGAGCTCTCAACATCTACTACTGAGGGAGAGGGAGGAAAGTGAGGAGTTGGGAGTGTGCCCATGTGTAGGAGTTGAAATTCTCTCTGGAGATTCTGAAAGTCAGCCCTTCTGATTAGGAATGAATTAGATCTGTGTGCATAGAAATGGCCTTTCTATTTATTTTATCTCTGCCTTTTATTTTTGTGAGTTTTTTTATTTGGGGTGGAGGTTACATTGCTAGTGGTGAACCAGGAGCCCATACAAGGGAAGCAAGCACCACTGAGCTACCACTCAAGACCTGTAATCAGTGTTGAAGGGGGAAGAAAACACAAGCTGAAAACTGATCTATGCTTAGTGGCATACTTGGAACTCTAAGATAATTCTGAATAGTGTCTATGGGTACATTTTTGGAGCAACGCATAAAAACAAGACTAGAAGGGCCCATATGTTATAAAATCAGTGAGCTCAGTGGCCCTGGAGAAAGCTGGAAGGAGGATTGGAGGTGAGAAGGGGTCTAACCCTGCTGTCAATTTTTGGAAAGTAAAGATATTAGTATGTCTGTATCCACCTAGAAGAGTGGCTCATGTCCATAGCCCATGAAAGTGACGGTTGTCAGGTCCAAGGCCAGCTGGAGATAGAGCAGTAAGTACACTGTTCTCAAAAGAAAAGAAAAAGTATGTTTCTTTCTTGTAAAAAGCAAGGGAGGAAAAGTCCTTGACAATGTGGTTCTGTCTTTTCTGTACTACGTGACCTTGGACCAGCTACTTAACCTCTCTGGGCATTAGTTCCCATGTCTGTAAAAGAGAAAAACAGGATTTAGCTTCCAGATTATCATGGGAAATACATAGACTGATACACAGAACAGCTATAATGGAGCTGGTACAATCACACACTATTAAACATGTCACATACAAAGTGATTTGAGTTTCCAGCCTGCATGTGTGGCCATGAATATGTTTGGTTAAAGATGAATATTTGATCCTATATTTATCCATCAGTGTGCCTTAAACTAAGTTTTTATAGATATTTCACTGATGGAACATTACTTTCTAGGAAGGATTATTTGCAGCTTTTGTAGAGGCCTCAGTGGGTGGAGCACATCTCTTTCTATGCCTTGCTTCACCCTGGGGCCTCTCAAGAGCCTTTGAGCAGAGGGTTCCTGTGGACAGGATAATGCTCTCAATTCTGAATCACAGTGTATAAAAACAACAAATAACCCTTATTACATGTCGCCCAAAGAACTGCAGAACACAAGTTGACTTGATTTTGTCTAAAAAGGTCTGAGTCCCCTGAGTGGGCCATTTCCCAGTGGCTATGTATGAGCCATAGACACAAATAAATAGTCAATCTCGCTAGAACAGGCTCAGCAGTGCAGGCAGTATAGCCTGGATCACCTAGTGGTTAGACTGAAACCCTTAAGTCTGGTGTAGCAGTACACATCTGTGGTCCCACCACTGGTAGGTTATGGTGGGAGAATTATAAGCTTCAGGCAAACCTGGGCTACATTATAAGACCCTATCTCAAAAAATTCGGGGACACGGCTCAGTAAGCAAAGTCTCTTCCTCACAAACACAAGGAGCGGGGTTTAGATCCCCAGAACCATGTAAAAATGCTGGGTAAGTGGCACCTAGCCAAACTCCAGCAGCAGGAGGGCAGAGACCAATAGATCCTTGATACTCACTGGCAGCCAGGATAGTCAAATCGATGAGCTATCAGCTGATGAGTGCAGTGAGAGGTCTGTCTCAAAAATTAATAATAACAATAATGTGAAATAGAAACCAATGAAGGAAAGCCATTCAGTGTCTCACACACACACTAACAAGTACATATAACACACCACACACACACACAGACACACACTCACACACATAGTGAGGCTGCCATTCTTCCATGAACTGAGTGACTGTTGTGTCCCTGGAAACTCACAGTGCTATGGGACTCGTGCAGCATGGCAGCTCACACTGGAATGGAAGCTGACCGGCCATCACCATCAGGCTCAACTTGAGCCATTAACATATCCGTTCACTACTTCTCTTTCCAATGTACCTGTGTTGGGATCAGCCTGATAGCTACACTGTTTAACTGACCCTGTAACATTGGCAATAGAAAATATTACGCTAGTTTTAATTTATCTTAAAGCTATAAACAATCTGCTAAGTTTAGACCTCTTCAATTCTAGAGACAAAGAGCCCTTTCAGGAAATAAGTGTTGTAGAGACAACTCATAGTGACTTCTGAAGGTATAAGCTGTTTCACTCAAAAGTTGAACCAGAACTTACTTCCTCAAATACCCCAGAGAAGGAGTGGTGTTGAGGGTAATATTTAAACCAGCATGGTCCAATCTGGCTTGTTCTTATGGGGCTGCCATGTTCCGGACTAGACAAGGCCTGAGGCCAAGAGCAGCAGCGTGCTCTCACTGCTGCTCAGCTTGACTGAGGCTCAGACCGGCCAGAAGTACCAGCCCTGGCACCACAAGACGCCATCATGGTGACTAAATCAGCCAATCCACCATACTGTCTCCACAAAGTTCTGCTGAACCCCAGACAATACCCGTCATCCACGTGGTACTCGGTAGAAATGAAACTCTAAAGCTTAATTATTATCCAAAGGCTTTATATATTTAGAAATGTTCAATTAACAATTAGCCCACACAATTAGAGTTGTTACCCAATACCTAACCTTATGATATAAATGGTTACCTAGGACTGTTCTGGACCCATGTGTGTTCTCAATGGCTCCTACGTCTCTCTCTCTCTCCTTCCTCTCCTCAGTCCTCCCACACTAGCTCCTCCCAAATTACGAGCTTTATTGTAAAATGTGGGGGGGGGGGTATACCCCGCCACAGAGTGAGGAGCCAGGGGGGAATGAAATAGGCAGCACGAAGAGTTCCTAGCTGAGTCAGAAGCCACAGCCTTCCATAGGCAGCCATTACACCTGGTTCTTCCTTGTGTCTCCATCTGTCAGAAAAGTTCTATGAGGACACTATTTCCTGGGTACTCGCTCTTTGCCAGGCTCTGGACAAAGGCTTTGTAAAAGCTGGTTTCTTTACTCCTTGACGTAGCCCTCTAGTGTGAGGGCCATTATCATCCCTGTCTGACACATGAAGAAACTGAGATCTGAGAGAGTGAGAAAACTGCCTAGCCTGTCAGGTTCAGATTCACACCCAACTGGAGGAAGCTGGAGTCACTGACACTTTGCAGAGGATAATGGGGACTATACTCTAATATCACTCCTGTGATATGTGTTAAAAAGCCAATTCAGGCAAAGCAGTAGTGGTACATACCTTTAATCCCATCACTTGGGAGGCAGAGGCAGGCAGATCTTTGTGAGTTCAAGGCCAACCTGGTCTACAGAGTAAGTTTTGTGGCAACCAGGGCTACACAGAGAAACCCCTTCTCAAAAATGAAAAAAGAAGAAAAAAGAAAAAAGGAAGAGAAAGAAAGAGAAAGACAGACAGACAGACAGACAGACAGACAGAAAAGAAGGAAGGAAAAAAGGAGAAAAGGAAGAGGAGGAGTACAAGGAAGAGAAGGAAGAAATCAATTCTGTCCTATCAGGAGAGAGACACGGTAGGATTTTGGTTCCATTAGATCATAGCAATATGGAAGGTATATGACTGAGGATAGGATGACCTGAAACATACAAAGTCAAACATTATGTGTATGTTCTCCTGACGTGAGGAACCTTGAGCTGTCGACTTCATAGAAATGGAAGGGAGGAATGCTAGTTATCCGAGCTGGGAACTATGGCTGTTACTATAGTAAGATCCATACCTTAGCCCAGCCAAGCGCTGTAACTTTTTAATAGATAATTGATTTATTCAAGGTTTTTATTCTCTCCAAGATAGGGTCTCCTTGTTAGCCCAGGCTAGCTAGAACTCACTATGTAACCAAGGGTGACTTTGAACTCCTGATCTTTCTCCTGTCTCCATTTCTCAAGTTCTGAAGTCACAGGTATGAACCAACACACCAGGTTTTATGTGGTACTAAGGGTCAAACCCAGAACTGCATGCATGACAGGCACTCTCACAACTTGTGTATGTGTATATGTATATGTGGCAATACGTATGAATATATATTGTAAATTGTAAATGTTACCATTTTACAACACAGTTGTACAGACCAGTGACAGGTACATTCAGAGTGCTGCTCACCCTATCAACCTGACTTTCTCATTGGCCTAAATTGAAACGGTAATGCCCCAGTCTTCCAACCTCCCAGGCCCTGGGAATGACCAGCCTCCTTTGCATCTCTATGAAGTCAACTGCTCTAGATATGTCACATAGGTAGACTTGAGAGCATGGAACAGCTCTTCTCTTGTGTCTCATTTAACCTAGCACAATCATTTCAAAGTTCACTTATGTTCTCTTTACTTTTTAAAGGCTGACCAGTGTTTCAGTGTGTGGGCGTACCATATGATGGGTGCTAGATTTTTGACAATCTTTAGCTATTGTGAATGATGCTATAGAAATTTTGTTGTAGCCAACCAAGTGACATCTTAAGTCCCAGTGGAATTCTGCTCCTTCACCCCCTCCCTTCCCAGTAGCCTCACACTGGGACAAACACCCTCAGGTCTGTACTAGAGCCTTACAGGCATTTTCTAAAACCATTTCTTTATTTCTTTCAGTGTCCAGTCCATCCAGAAGAAGAGTCAAGAGCTCTCAACACCTCTTGGCCAAGAATGTAAGAAAATGTGTTTAGCTGGTTGTAATGCTTTTTGACTTACCCCTCCCTCTCCCCATCTCCAGGATGAGGAGGCAAGGGATGCCTTCAATGTCTCCTGTGGTAGTTTGCTCACTTAGACAAAATAACTGGCAAATATCAAGCATACCCTGAGTAGTTGCCAAGAGATTCCCTAATTATGCCATTTTTCCAGGGACAGGGAAGACCTCATCCTGCATGTGCAGGAGTTCATGGTATGGATGTACCATCCTGGTCTAGGCAGCTGTAACATTGCATATAACATTATATATTCTCACCATTACAGAGAACAGTGAAGTGCTCATACAATTCCTTGTCACATATGGCTCCAAGCAGAATAAACAGATAAAAGAATAAGAAGAGATCATCCACCCTCCAACCTATCTATCCCTCGGGTATTTGCACGTCTAGTATGTTACACATGCTGTGGATTTTCATAGCATAAGAGCAATTTTGCTGTTGTTTGAGTGCTTGCCTGAGATAGTCCTTTGTACCTCAGGCTATCCACAAGCCCACCGTGCAGCCCAAACTGCCTTCAAAGTTGATATACTCTTGCCTCAACCTCCAAATGCTGGGGTCATAGGCATAACTCTTTTTTAAAATGCCTTTTGCCTGCAGGTTTGTCTGGTGATGGCAGAAATTCTGAACAATTCAGAGACCCCGCAGCCTTCCACTGTCTTTTTCTGCAGCCTCACCAACATGGACTTTCTTTCTTTCTTTCTTTCTTTCTTTCTTTCTTTCTTTCTTTTTTTTTTGCGAGGGGGTTGGTTTTTTTTGAGACAGGGTTTCATGGACTTTCATTTTAAATTGTGCTTTGGTATTTTGAATGCACTACCTTTATGTTGCCTACACATGTTTAGAGGCTAATGAGGTTTTGAATCTCACTTTACATACACATTGCTTCATGTCAGAACTACCAATACATCTGTACCGTGTATGATGTATCTGTACCTGCAATGAGCAGCTGCCATCACAAACTTTGAATGACACTATTATAGATTTTTAAGTATTGTAATTTTAAAAAAATCTTTTTCCTGTTTTCAAGAAATGGTTTTTTTGCTGGGCAGTGGTAGTGCACGCCTTTAATCCCAGCACTTGGGAGGCAGAGGCAGGTGGATTTCTGAGTTCAAGGCCAGCCTGGTCTACAGAGTGAGTTCCAGGACAGTCAGGACTATAGAGAGAAACCCTGTCTTGAAACTCCCTCCCCCCCCCCCCCAAAAAAGGCTGTTTGTTTTTTTTTTTTTTAAAGTAGAAAGGGGTTTATTTGTTGTTTCTACAAACATCCTTTAGACTTAAAAAAAAAAAAAAGAAGAAGAAGAAAAAGAATACAGGTACATTGGTCACCCTGAGCGGGGCAGAGTGGCCAGCCAGTGGCAAGAGCATTGCCTACCACTTTGTTACACTTCAATTCCCAAATCAGCATCTATCCATTACAAAAGTTTCAAACACTGTGAGGATACTTACTCACTTTACTGTCACAAAATTCTGAGACACTGTGTAGTAGAAGATTCATAGATTTATTGGCCATAGGCATTTTTCCCTGTGGGTTTTTATTCCTCTCCTTTGTTTGCTTCTAGGTCAGTTGTGCAGCTTTGTATAAGGACTTTTGGGAACATTGTTAGGAAAGAGAAGGCGTATGGGTCCTGAGGTCCTGACCTCACTCTGACCCCTAAAACTTAAGCACCTCGTTCATAAGGAAGATGAAAAGGAAAGTGTTCACAGATACTTCAGAGGTAGAGAATTTTACTGCAGGGGCTGAGGCCTTAGCCAGTAGCTAAGGAGCCAGGAGCTTCCAGCTCCTCCATTTAGAACGTTCAGGACTAACCACAGAACGTTCACACCAGGCTGGGCAGGGTGACTGAAACCTGAACTCCTGCCTTGGTGAAACAAAGGGTTCTGTCTCCTTCTCCAGGTTGGTAGCTTGAAAGTACCAAAGGAAAACCCATCTTACTTTGCATAGATACTAACATCTACTGTGTTCTTTGGCCCTAAATGTTGATTTGCATTTCCTGTCACTCCTTGGGCCGCCACATGGATGAAAACACATTTTTTTCCTCTCTGAGTCACCCTCAGCCCTAATGCACTTCCTCTGGTTTTTTCTTCCAAATCACAAGGCACAGACACATCTCTGGTGTGTTCTCTCTTTCTCCCCTCCCTCTCTTCTTTTTTGATTCCCAGTCTGTTTTATTCACGTCCTAATCATCCTGATGCTTGTGGATGTCATAGAACTATCTGGAGAGACTACTCCCACACAAGGAGTGGGTCTATCAAACGCTCCAGGATAATGGAGCCCTTTGACAATAAGCAAGGAATCTAGCAAGAGGAATGACAAAGAAACAGGGTGGTAAATATCACTTAGTCCCCAGATTTGATGCTTGTGTAGGGACATCTGTGTTGAGTCTCCTGGTTTGTGCATTAAATATTCAACTGCACTTGAAATTCTCAGTTCGGGGTAGGTGCTTCTCTGAAACCTTATAAAGAGACTTCACTCAGGGGGCACAGAGCTCAGGTTTGCATTGGTTCTATAAGGACAGCTCTGTGACCTTAAGGAAGACACAAAGCTCCCTCTGACTTCAACTTTTCTACATGTAAAAGTCGTGAGTTAGTTGAACATAACTGTCATTTCCTTCTGCCCTAAGTCATGATTGTGCCCCACCATCCAGGCCTCATGTGTCTGATTCTTCATCCTGACTTCTGAGCTGGTAAACAACAGAAGTATGAATTTGAGATGTCAGGGGATGGACTCCCCCACAATGTATTAAAGTAACACTTCAGTGGACTGATGGCCTAGAACAAGAAAATCCCATCATTATATACTGGTTTTCCCTTTTCTGCCCTATTAACATCTCAGACTCCCGTCTCATCTCTATCCTCAGACACTAAGAGCATGCTCACAGACCACTTTGTTCTACAGCTATTAGCAGTAACTTCAATAAACAAGAAAATAAGTCAAGCTCTCAGTAGCCAGCAACTGTCCTACTTTGAGGTATGTGACCTTAAGTGATAACCTAGAAAGTATCAGAAGGACACATACACCACTACCACCATCACCACCACCACCACCACCATACACCAACATCCTTCATCCATGCTGGATTGAGCAGCTAATGTTTCTCCTCTTCTCTCCCTATCTCCTGCAACACACAGTTCAATGACGGCCTGGAGAGGTGGAATATCTTCTTCCCCAAAGAGTCCATGTGT